GTGTCCTTGCTGCCCCCTACTGGAAGAGATGAACCTACTGTGCACCTTTACACACTCTGCCCCCATTGGATAAGCACAGGACATGTTACTGAGACCGTGGGACAAACTCAAGTGGTGTCACCACAGTTTTCATCCTGCCTCCCAGAGACACCTACACGTGCAGAGGAACTGATATCTACCACCTCCGGCCAGTCCCCTGTGATTTCTTTCCCAGACTGTCAGCCTTTGTGGTTTGTAGTCAAACCACATGTCAACACCTGTCTGAGTCAGAGACGAAACCGCCAGGCACGTGGCTGCTGGTTGTGTCTGGGACTGAAGCCGGAGAAGAGCAGCATTGGGGATGAAAATAGGAATGGACGGGGTGCTGGACATCCCCCAAAGCCAATTTTCCCTGGGTGGGACTTGAAGAGAAGTAGGGAGGAAGGAGAACGTGGTGCATGCCACCAGGCGCTGGGGATGTGGGTTGGAATCCCACCGCTGCCACCAAACCCCCCTGGGGTGAGTGTTGTGTTGAGCTATTTGGGCCCTGACAGAACTGATGGCCAGGATACTGAGCTACATGGATCTTTGATCTGACCCCTGTATGGCTGGCCTGTCCATTGGAATGGGTCCAGAAGATTTCATTCTGATTTTGACCTTCAAAAACCTTTGCCTAGCGCAGCCTTTGTATGTCTCTCCCCAAAGGAAAAATTAAAGCCATTGGTTTTGAAAGGGTCCCAATGGCTCGTCATTGATGTGATTCATGTTCGAGATGGGTTTGGTTTTAGACTAGGTTTACACTACACCTTTTTCTGATTCTTTTTTCGGCTTTTCCGAAATTTGGCCTGTTGACATGGGGCCAAATTTCCCCAAATCCCCCTCTTTCGGAAGATCCCTTCTTTCTTGTAGAACGAGGAAGACAGGGCTTCCGAAAGAGAGTGTTAGCTCTTCCGCAAACCTGTTCCTTGGACGCAGCGGAGTTTTTCTGGGATACCTCTGGGGAAAACCCTGTAGTCTAGACGTACCCATAGTGACATTCCGCCAGAATGGAAACCATGTTTCTAAATATTCCAATTTCAACTGTTTCCAGCCAGCTGTTTTAGCTCATGTTACAAACCGGAGTTTTTTTGATTTGCTGACCATCCTCATTCACTAAATCAGGAAGTCCCGTCCCTCTCCACCCTTCATCTGGCTCCCCCAGAAGGTAAAGGCCTTACATCCCATTCCCCTCCCCCCCAAACCAGCCAGTCCCCTATCCTTAAGCCAGATCAGAACTAGCATCCTGACCAGAACCAGCGTCCCCTAGAGGAGAAAGAACCCCATGTCCTATAAATCCTGGCACACTAGAATGGGCAGGGATCTCGAGGGGTCATCGAGTCCCAGGACCAAGCACTGTCTAGACCAGTTTTTCTCAACCAGTGGTACAAGTACCCCCAGGGGTAATCATGAGACATCTGGGGGAATATGTCAACACAACCGAAATTTGGAGCAAACTGAAGTTTTGTTTTCAGTTTTACTTAATAATAATTATAATAAGCTTTATTATTTTTGTACTTTTTGCACCCTGAAATTTCATCTCCCGCCCGGCTACGATTAAGTTGTTTAAACAAAGGTGTTGCAATGGTAGGGGAAAAAAAGGTGTGTCTGAAAACTGTAGATACTGGGGAGACTTTATTTTAAAAAACCTTGAGAAAGATGGGTCCAGACCATCTCTGATAGACATCTATCTAACCTGCTCTTCAATATCTCCAGTGACGGAGATTCCACAACCTCCCTGGGCAATTTATTCCAGTGTTTCAGCACCCGGACAGGTAGGAAGTTTTTCCTAATGTCCAACCTCAACCTCCCTTGCTGCAGTTGAAGCCCATTGCTTCTTGTCCTCTCCTCAGAGGCCAAGGAGAAGAATTCTTCTCCCTCCTCCTTGGGACACCCTTTTAGATACTTGAAAACTGCTCTCATGCTCCTGAGCAAACTAGCCCTCTATCCTGAGGTCAGATTGGGCATAGCTCCCGGGGTCGGACACAGGCCCCCAGGTCGGACACAGCCCCCCGGGTCGGACACAGCCCCCCGGGTCGGACACAGATCCTCAGGTCAGACACAGCCCCCCGGGTCGGACACAGATCCTCAGGTCAGACACAGCCCCCCGGGTCGGCAGCTCGCTCCCACCTCTGGGCTGGTCTGGACTCAGAGGCGGATGGGCCCTGATGTCCGGGAAGTCAGCGTGGTCCTGGTGGTCTGGGAGATCCACCAGAACTCCCGGTGTGAAGCATTTTGAGCTCTTTGCCGGGGCAGGGTGGGTTTGGCAGCTGAGTCAGCCTGAGCGTTGGGAACAGGGTGAAAGCAACTCCAGTTTCCTTCCCGTTCTCAGATGGGCTGGTCTGGACTCAGAGGCGGATGGGCCCTGATGTCCGGGAAGTCAGCGTGGTCCTGGTGGTCTGGGAGATCCACCAGAACTCCCGGTGTGAAGCATTTTGAGCTCTTTGCCGGGGCAGGGTGGGTTTGGCAGCTGAGTCAGCCTGAGCGTTGGGAACAGGGTGAAAGCAACTCCAGTTTCCTTCCCGTTCTCAGACCACAGAGGACTCGTGACAGAGGCTGCTGCTGCTGAGGTCCGCCCGGCAGCCACAGCC